AAGGACACATGGGTGTGCAAGCTCACCAGGAGCTTGTATGGACTAAAGCAAGCACCAAGGCAGTGGTACAAGAAGTTTGACTCCTTCATGACCAAGAGTGGATTCTGCAAAGCTGAAAAGGATCCTTGTTGTTACTTCGAGAAATACACTGATTCATGTCTTTCTACTCTTGTATGTGGATGATATGTTGATTGCAGGATCTAGTATGAGAGAGATTAACCATCTGAAGACAAGGTTATCTGCAGTATTTGAGATGAAAGATTTGGGTCTAGCAAAGCAGATTTTTGGGATGAAGATTTCTCGGGATAGATCTGCTGGCACTTTAAATCTATCTCAGGAGTTGTACATTGAGAAGGTGCTGAGCAGATTTAGGGTTAATGATGCTAAACCCAGGACTACTCCATTGGCAAATCACTTTAAATTGTCAAAGGAGTAGTCACCCAAGACTGCCGAGGAGCGTGATCACATGGCATTTGTTCCATATGCTTCAATAGTTGGTAGTTTGATGTATGCTATGGTCAGCACTAGACCTGATATAACACATGCAGTGGGAGTAGTTAGCAGGTACATGGCGAACCCTGGGAAAGAGCATTGGGAAGCTGTGAAGTGGCTTCTTAGATATCTGAGAGGTACATCCAGTACTTCACTTTGTTTTGGCAAAGACAAGGTGACTCTACAAGGTTTTGTGGATGCTGATCTTGGTGGGGATGTTGACTCGAGCAAGAGTACATCCGGGTACATTTTTTACACCATAGGTGGAACAGCAGTGAGTTGGATGTCCAGGCTTCAATAGTGTGTTTCTCTTTCATCTACTGAAGCTGAGTATGTGGCAATAGCTGAAGCTGGGAAAGAGATGATATGGCTGGCAGATTATCTTGAGGAATTGGTCAAGAAGCAGAGCGAGAAGATTCTTTACTCAGTTAGCCAGAGTGTCATACAGTTGGTGAAAAATACAGTATATCATTCGAAGACAAAGCACATCAGAAGGCGATACCATTTCACTAGCAGGGCAGTGGAGGATGGTGATATGTGCTTGAAGAAGATAGAGGGTGCAAAGAACCCGGCAGACATGTTGACGAAATGTGTTGATGTTGGGAAACTGAGGTTACGTAAAACCTCGGTTGGTTTTCTGTAGTTGTTGCTACAGATGTTGCGGTGCGGTAAAGATGTTGATGATAAAGAGATTTTTTTTTTGAGAATGTATTTTTTAGATGACTGAGTCAGTCTCCAAGTGGGAGAATTGTTAGGTAGTGGAGCCTGATTAATTTTAGGTTTTTCTATTTATTCTCTATTTTAGGATTTCCTATTTATTCTCTATTTTAGGTTTTCCTATTTATTCTCTGTAACAAAAAATACTCTGATTTATTAATATAAATATACCTTACCGCCGTGGAAGTTTACTCACGGGGTTTTACCATGAAATATTGGGTATTCTCTTTCTCTCTCTAGATCTCTCATCTCTTTCTCTTGAAAGTTCTTGTGTTCTTCATTCATCTAGTGTGTGCGCGTGAATTCGATCCTAACAGAAGAGAAAAGAGAAGAAGGAAAAAGGGAGAAAAATCAAGAATTCATCAAGAATGCCAAGATCTTCGAGTGAAATTCGTCGGGGGTGATCCTATTAAGGTATATGAGATATTAATATCCGTGTTGGGTTAGTTCACCCACACACCAAATTGTTTAATTCAGCGATTTGAGTAGATTGATTGATGAAAATGGAGTTCTTGAAGAACATTGTTGAAATCTTGTTGGTTGAGTTGTTACATGCCATTAGTTGATTTGATTCATGTTTTTCGGGTTGTTTCTCGATACTAATCTATTGGGTATTGAGGTAATTAGTGATCCTAAGTGTTTGGGGGAAGATCCATGGGAGTTTAGAAGGTTTAGAGATAAAAAAACGAAGAAGAGAAGTCAAAATTCCCATCTGACAGGCCCTGTGGCCGTGCCTGCCAGAGCCCCTGAGGACAGCCTCTTTCTGACATGCCTTGGCGCACCGTGCCAGCCAGAGCTCTTCAGGATAACCTCTGTTCTTCAGGCTCTAACGCTCCACGCCTCTCAGAGCGTCAAGGACGCCTGGAGACCCCATTGTTTGCTTTTCTTTTCGTACTAGTCCCTAAGTGATATACCCTCATTTCTTAGTTGATTCGAAGCCAAAAACATCCTTCAACTATATCCCAAATTTAAGCTACATCCTTAAAGTATTATTCTCAGTAGAAAACATCCTTCAAGTCTTTAAAAGTGAGCAATTTCATCCTTATGTTAGATATCGTAAAAAAACTATGGGATCCTTTAAAAACATGAGCAGTCATGTAACCATCTACAAAAATTTTCCTGCATAATTTCATTACTTTCTGTATATGATGTTTCTAAAAAAATATTTAAAATCTTAAATTATTGCTTATGAAAATAAAAAATTGTTTGGATGTTGTGACTGCACACTGCTATTTTTCTCATTTAAGAACAGGAAGAATTGGAGCTTAATTATCTTTAACTTTTTCATAGTCAAACTGTATTTAGATCAATAAAAATTTTGGGTCAATCAGATATTGAAGTGATCAAAATATTAATTATTTCTTGCATTTGAGTTTCTTTCTACATTATTAGAAATGAAAATTCTTCAACAAACACCGCTTCAAGCATATTCAATTGAGAAGAAACATATTTCAACTAATAATATTTTTACTATAAAATTCCTGAAAAATAAATTAAAAACTGTCAAAATTAAAAGATTTTGCATAACGCTAAACTCAATTACAAAAAACGGTCACGATAATATTTTTGGTGTATCTAAGAATATTAATTAGGAAGGAATGACTTAATTTTTGTGGGATTTTTTAGTTTTCTGATAAATTAAAATATAAGGATGAAATTTGCTCACTTTAAAATACTTTAAGGATGTTTTTAGCTGAGAATGATACCTTAAGGATATAGTTTAAGTTTAGGGTATAGTTTAAGGATGATTTTGGCCAAAAACTCTACATCTAGATATCATGAAATCATCAATAAACATGAGATCATGAACCTTGAATTCATAATCCAATTCAAGGAAAGTTAAGATCAAAGTCAAATAAGTTGATAGTCAATTCTAAAAGTTAAGAAGCAAGTCAAAGTAAGTTCTTAAAAATTTTCAAGAGTCTTACACAAAAAATTTAACTTTATTTTAAGGATCAAGCTTAAAGTTGAGCAAAGAGTAATGAGTTGAGTAAAATTCTCAAAAGTTATAAGGGAACTAAGTACTCCTTAAGAGTTAAGTTACAAGTTGAGCAAATAGTAAATAGTTGAGTTCATTTCACAAAAGTTATAAGGGATCTAAGTATATCCTAAGAGTTACAAATGTTTTCACATATTGAGCAAGAAAGGAAGCTAGACTTACAACAGAGCCATTGAAAAGTTTTTGTAAAGAGGAAACTATGATTTTCAAGAGAGCTTTTAAAAGCTAAGTTTGAGCAAATTATCTCAAATCAGAGAAGAAGTTACTTTTAAAACATATGAGCTAAATATTTTGGGAGTAGTATTGAGCACCGACATGGGGACGCGAGTTTATACTAACCTAATCCCTCATAAACCATGTCGCCAACATGGATAGATAGAAGGGTCATAATTTTTAGATTATTCCTTTGTTCTTTTTAGCATGGACTAGTGGATCCACTTAGTAGTTCAAGTTCTATATTGATGGCAAGGTACATGATGGTCCTCTTGCAACGTGAGGTAAGACGTTGTACCATTGCTTAGGTTCATAGTAATGGTTGTCGGTTAGATAATCTCCCACAGAACTATGTTACTTTCATATATAAGTTAAGTTGAATTTGTTATTGCATTTTCTTTAACGAACTAAGTTATTTTATTGTTTCACCGACCTTCATATATATCGCATGTGTTTTAATTGCCTTGTATATATACATTGAGTTGAATATTCATAAGTTGAGTAGAGCCAATGTAAGTTCATTTTATTCTTTTCAAGCTTTAAGTTGTCGTTTAACATTTGAACTAGCATACTCATACATTCAATGTACTGATACCAGATGGCTTGCATCGTCTTGTGATGGAGACGCAGGAAAACATGATTAGAATCATCCAATGCCTCTTTGATCCAATTGAGCATTTGTAGCCAGTAGTGAGCCTCCTTGCTTTCTCGAGGTCACTTTTATTTTTTTTCTAGTATTTCATTTATAGGATATTGTGGGGTCTGTCCCAACATCCATTTCATTATTGTAGAGGCGTCATAGACAGCCAGATGGTTAGTTTTGAGTCTCTTATTTCTTTATTTCAGATTTCTTTGTTATGAGACTTAATTGACAATTTGACCAACTTATTATTTCTTTAAGTTATATCATAAGACTGTTTTATTTGAGTTAAATCTTCCACTGAGTTAAGTAAGTCAGGACAAGGGTTCACTTAAGACTAATAATGGTCATTGGGTGCAAGCCATGTACAGGGTGTAGACTCGGGGCGTGACAACCTTGGTGTTAGAGCATAGAGTTCAAGAGTCCTAAGCAGTATGAAGTCGTATCCTTAGAGTCTTAATCATTAGTATAAAGTTTTCCACATCTATGATTGTGATGCTAAAACATTTACGAATTCCTCACTTTTTTCATATTCTTTTTCGTGCATTAAAGTCTATTTCAAAAAGTCTCTCTCTCGAATTCGTGCTTGCGAATATCTGAGATAATTATGCCTCCACGAAGAGCATCACGAGGTCGCTCATCTAGGAGAAATTTTGAACCTAAGGAACAAGAGTTACTCAATGCACTTGAAGTGCAACCTCAAGGGGACGTTAGCAACACTGAGTTCCATGAGGCTATTAGGATGTTGAGTCAAGTTGTCACTAACCAGGTTGGTCAATAGGGAGGAGCTCAATGAGAAGAGGCTGACACCTCGAGGATTAGTGACTTCTTGAAAATGAATCCTCGTAGTTTCACTAATTCAAGCACCATTAAGGATCCGAAAAACTTTGTGGAAGATTTGAAGAAGGTTCTCGATGTGATGCATGTTATTGGTGTTGAGAGAGTCAAGCTAGTTGCATACCAACTGGAGAATGTGGTTAGGACTTGGTTCGATCAGTGGAAGGAAGGAAGAGATGAGGATGCACAACATCCGGGTTGGGCTTGTTACGAAGAGGCTTTCTTGGGGTCTTTATTTCCCCGATAACTGAAAGTGGACAAGGTGTAAAGTTCCTTACTTTAAAACAGGACTCCTTAGGTTTTCACGAGTATGTGTTGAAGTTCACCTAACTGTATCGCTATGATACTGAGATGGTTAAGGATATGAGGAGTTTAATAAGTTTGTTTATTGTTGGCTTGGGTCGTGCATCTTGCAATGTTGATCCGTGACATGGAAATATGCCGATTGATGGTCTATGTGCAGCAAGTTGAAGAAGAGATGTTGATAGACAAAGAGGAGTACATGGACAAGAAAGCCAAGACTGGAATAAGTCTGGGCAGCAGAAAGGTGGTTCGATTCGGACAAAATTTCGGAAACAAAAGGGGCATGCACTATCATCTACTAGTGCACCTGCGCCTCGAAACAGAGGTGAGTGTAATGGCAAGAATTCACAAAATTTCAAGGCTAGACCAGCCTAATTTGAAAGTAGTGTGGCACAAGGAGGTAGATGGGCTCCTTCATGTGGTACGTGTGGTAGAAACCACGCCGGTAAGTGTCGTGATGGCCATTCGGGTTGCTTCAAGTGCGGTCAAGAGTGTTACTTTATGAAATAGTGTCCTAAGAATAAATAGGGTGATGGAAATCAAAGCAATAGAGCCCAATCTTCATCAGTTGCTCCACCAGAAAGGTCTGCACCTAGAGAGCTAATACTAGCACTTACAGAGGAACATATCGCGTCTATGCACTAACTAGCCATCAGGAGCAAGAGAACTCGCCAAATGTTGTCACGGGTATTATAAAAGTCTTTACTTTTGATGTTTATGCTTTGTTAGACGCAGGAGCGAGTTTTTATTTGTAACTTTTTATGTTGCAAACCAGTTTGAGATTCTTCGTAAGAAATTTTTTGAACCTTTATGTATTTCTACCCCTGTTAAAGAGTCTATTCTAGCAGAAAGAGTGTATCGTGATTGTCCTATTTCTATCAATCACAAGAACATCATGGCTGGCCTAGTGAAGTTATACATGGTAAATTGTGATGTCATTCTAGGTGTGGACTGGCTTCATGCATGTTATGCATCACTAGGCTATAGATCTCGAGTTGTCTAGTTTCAGATTCCTAATGAACCAGTAATAGAGTGAAGTAGTAGTTTAGTAGTGCCTAAGAGTCGTTTGGTTTCATACCTTAAGGAGAGAGAGTTAATTTCAAAGGGGGTATACTTAGTCCGAGTTAATGACTCAAGTGTTGAGGTACCTTCCCTTCAGTTAGTTCCTATAGTAAAAGATTTCTAGAAGTCTTTCCTCATGATCTACCCGGAATTCCTTTTGAGAGAGAAATAGACTTCGGCATACACATCATCCCAAATACTCGTCCTATCTCTATTCTGCCATATAGAATGACACCAGCAAAGTTAAAAGATTTCGACCAGCTTTAGGGTGCTCCTGCAACATTTATGGATCTCATGAATAGAGTCTTCAAACCTTATTTAGATATGGTTGTTTTCATCTTCATTAATGACATATTGATCTATTTAAGGAATGAAGAAGGTCACGATAGTCACCTCATGATAATTCTTCAGACTTTTAAAGATAAGGAGTTATATGCTATGTTCTTGAAGTGTGAGTTTTGTCTCAAGTCTTTAACATCTTTGCGCCACATAGTTTCCGATTATGGGATTAGTATGATACCCAAAAGATAGAAGCAGTTCAGAGTTGGCTTAGAGTTTCTTGAATTGGGATGGCTACTGTAGAAGATTTGTTGAAGGGTTTTGATCTATTTCATCTCCCTTGACTAAGTTGACTCAGAAGACATTTAAATTTCAATGGTCTAAAGCTTGTGAGAAAAGCTTTAAGGAATTGAAAAAGAGGTCAACTACTGCCCTAGTTTTGACCTTACCAGAGGGCACTCAAGGTTTTGTGGTGTATTATGATGCATCTAGAGTTGGGTTGGGTTGTGTTTTAATGCGGAATGACAAAGTTATAACTTATGCCTCCAAACAATTGAAAGTTCATGAGAAGAATTATTCAACCCATGACTTAGAGTTGGCTGGTGTAGTATTCACCGTGAAAATATGATATCACTACTTGTATGGTGTTAATGTTGCTATATTCACTGATCAGGAGAACCTTCAATATGTTTTCACCCAGAAAGAGCTCAATTTCAAATAAAAGAGGTGCTTAGAACTACTTAAGGATTATGACATAAGTATTCTTTACCACTCATGTAAGGCTAATGTGGTTGGTAATGCTTTAAGCAGCTTATCCATGGGGAGTACCACCCATGTCAAGGAAGGAAAGAGAGAGTTAGCTAAAGATGTGCACAGAATTGAACGCCTAGGAGTCATGGATTCCACAGAAGGAGGAATAGTGGTGACTAATGGGGCTGAATCATCACTAGTGTCAGAGGTGAAAGAAAAGCAAGACCAAGACCTCATTTTGCTTGATTTGAAGGCGAATATTAACAAGCAAAGAGTATTGACTTTTGAACAAGGGGTAGATGGGGCGCTGAAATATCAAGGTAGATTTTGTGTACATAGGGTGGATGGATTCCAAGAGAGGATCATGAAGAATGCTCATAGCTCCAAATATTCCATTCATCCACGTTCCACCAAGATGTACCACGATATGAGAGAGGTGTGGAGGTAAGGTATGAAGAAGGATATTAATGAGTGTTGAAAAGTGCTCTAATTGCCAACAAGTGAAAGTAGAACACCAAAGTCCAGTAGGTTTCGCTCAAAATATAGAACTTTTGGTATGGAAGTGGGAGATGGTTAATATGGACTTTATCACAGGCTTTCCAAGGTCTCGCAGACAATATGATTCAATTTGGGTGATTGTCGTGCAAACTCTTTCCAATGGCGCCGAGTTTGCATGATTTTGATATCATATGAGGGAGATATGCTTTTAGGAAGTTGTGCTATTGAAGTGAGGAAAGTCCAATTCCAGATTTTAGTAAGGAAAAACTTATATTTTCACCCATCTATTTCCTAATTCATTTTAAGAGTTTATTTGGGGTGAAAATAAGTTGACATTCAGATAGAAAGGTTATTTACGCTTAGGGCTTGGAAAAGAGAAAAGAGAAGAAGGAAGAAGGGAGAAAGATAAATAATCCATCAAGAAAGCCAAGATCTTCGAGTGGAATTCATCGAGGGTGATCCCTATTTAGGTATGCGAGATCTTTTCATGTTGGTTTAGTTCACCCATATACCAAATTGTTTAATTGAGGGTATTTTGAGTAGATTGAATGATGAAAAGTGGAGTTCTTGAAGAACATTGTTGAAATCTTAATGGTTGAGTTGTTACATGCCTTTAGTTGATTTGATTCGTGTTTTTAAGGTTTTTTCTCGAGTATAATCTATTGGGTATCGGTTTATTAGTGATCCTAAGTGTTTGGGGAAAGATCCATGGAAGTTTAGAAGGTTTATAGATGAAAAATAGATAAGAAAAATTGAAACTCCCATCTGACAGGCCCTGGGGCACCGCGCCTTCCGGAGCCCCTAAGGACAGCCTCTATTCGTCAGGCTGTGGTGCTCCATGCCTCTCAGAGCGCCAAGGACTCTCGGACCCATTCTTTCCCATCTTTTGGTACTAATGGTGTGTGGATTGGATCGGTTGCCACATTTTTGCATACTAACTGAGATTGGTTGCCATGTTCTGGCATAACTATTAGGATCGGTTGCCATATTCTAACATATAAATGGAATCCGTTGTCACGTTTCAACATAACATTGGATCGGGTACCACATTCTGGTATGCTAGTTATTTGGATTTGGATTCCATGAGAGGACTATTGAATTGGGTGCTGTGGAAGGATAATTTACTTGTTATATTTATATACTTGTTAATAGGAATGCAAAATTGTACGTTACACGTAAATGATAATCGATACTGTATATGTTCGTGTAAGCATGTTTATGATGTTGTATGTTTCACATAATGGGAAAGACGTGCGATCCTACCAATACACTGTGGTTGTGTACTAATATTGCTCTTGCTCTTTCATTGTTGAGTACTGGACATCATTCAAGCGGCTATTGATA